GCAGCCCTCTGTCATTGATCTAGCGATCTGGTGATGAACAGCTCAACAAAGACTGCAGGGGAAAATAAGAAGCAGACACATGGAGAAGTCTGCATGGGTAAAGGGACACAGCAGCCCATGTCACCATATCCTGCCCTGTGTCACAGTGTATGGATGCTATTTGGATACCTTTTCAGAAAATGAAGGAATGTAGAAAAGCCCCAGAAGACAGGGAAATGTGAGAGTATCAAAGGCAGGAAAGAGTTTTTTTGGGTTTTTGTTTGGTTTGGTTTTGGTTTTTCAAGACAGTTTTTCTCTATGTAGCTTTAGCTGTTCTTGGCTGTCCTGGAACTCGCTTTTTAGACCAGACTGGCTTCGAACTCACAAGAGATCCACCTGCCTCTGCCTGAGTGCTAGGATTAAAGGTGTGTGACATCACCACCTGGCAGAATTGTTAATTTTTAAACATTGGTTTTATGGTTATGTTTTAAGAAGAGACCTTAGCTTTGAAGAAATATAGCCTGTGATATTTACAGACGTCTATGTTAGCTTCAGAAAAGAATGATCCAGGGAGTAAGTGGCTGTCTAGTGGGTGTAAATGAACTAACATGAGCAGTGTAATGACAGCTGTAGCCAGAAGATCACTTCATTGTGCTATTTTTCTCTACTCCTATGTGCATGTTTGAAAATTTACATTACAGAACACAAAACAATGAATCTGTGGAGGCAAGGGGTTGGAAGTTTTAGGGCAGTCTGGACTGTGTAATGAGACCATGTCTCAAAAAATGCAAACAGAAAATAGATCTCCAAGCAAAAGGTTTCATTTGGGAATAAACAAGGAGTAAGACTGTGGTCTGGAAAACTCTCACAGTCCAAGGGATCTCTTGTGTCTTCAGGCTTTATTGGAAGGGATAAAAGCTTTGTAACACAGTGCTTGGAAAGAATGCCTGTGGACACAGCCTGTGGAGAGCCAGAGAGAGGCTCACCCTGCAGTTACCATGTAAGGCCACTCACAAAGCAGGAGGCTTTGTTGGGGTGAGCATACGTGGCAGGTCCTGCAGCAGGTAGGTATTTATGATCCAGCCTCTTGACTCTACTCCAGTAATTGACATGAATGACTGGAGTAATCAGTATTGCATAGTGGACCTTACATGTGGTCACTATTTACTATTTATTTGTCTTACCTTTACATTGTCTGTGGTTCAGCGTGCGTGTGTGCGTGCGTGCGTGTATACACCAGGCACAGCATCCAAAAGCAAAAACCAGGAGCATCTCAGCTTGGATGTGATCATCAGTCTGAGACATGATGTTGTTTTCAAGGGAAGAATGGGGTGGCCCTTTAGGAATTAGACTGTTGTTCCTTCTCTGTCACAACATTGCAAATTTTTTAATGAAGTAGAAATATCCACAACTAGGTCTTAGATTAAATTCTAATCCTGACTCAGTTACAAATTATTTTTATTGCCTATCTCATTGGTCTTCTTTATTAACTTAATAATCATTGGTTATACTGTTGAAAGTACACTTTTTTAGGACCCTAATTCCTTTTGCTTCCCTTTTCTTCCCTCACATTGTTGCGTCCTACAAAGACTCTGTTGTTGTGAATATTTTTCCTGTTTGCAGTGTAATTCGAACCTCATAAACCAGGAGGTTCCGAAGTGAGTAGAAACACATCCCTGCAGCTTTGGGCAGGATCTCATTTGTAAATATATCCCCTGGCACCTGAGTGCCTGCTTCAGCAAGAAGTCTTTGGCACCCAGATCTGGGGCTGAGAGGGTTACCAGCGGTTAGTCATCAAGCTATTTTTGTAACCACAGTCTCTATGCTGCTTCCCTCAGATTCGAGGTCTTTGTAGCAGGTGGGAATGCTTTGTCATTTTCATGAAAGTCACACTTGGCATGGGTTTGAAGCTGGTTTATCTTGCTGAGTCCTGGTGACCCTACCTGCCATGACATCTTCCTGGGTAGTGACTGGCGTACACTGGCCAGCAAAGTTGAAGCCAGGAGGTACCTGAGGCTGTGTGGAGAAGCAGACCTGTAATCTCAGCATTTGGGAAGCTGAGGCAAGAGGACCCCAAGTTTTAGAGACCAGCATGGGCTACATAGCAAGACCTTGTGTATGTGTGTGTGGGGGTTCAGTGAGGGAAAGAAACCTGGGAGGGTGAAGGCAAAGGTGTCCTTGTGGCCATTCTTGGACTTAGCTTATTCACAGCTGGACTTAGCATGCAAGTCTTTGGGTCCTTTGCTACCTATCTTGATGGCTTCCTCTTTGTTTATGAAGAGTTTTATTTTTTGAGATTGGGGCTCATTCTAGACTTCATTGTGTACTCAGGCTGGCTTTGAGTTTATGGTAATCCTTCTGCCTTAGCTTCACAGGTCCTGGGATTACAGATATGATCCACCATGGCAAGCATTAGGTATGGTTTTGGTGATCAAGGACCACAGGGTGACTAGACTCTGGAAATGGCATGTATAGTACATCATGCAGGAGAGCCATTGTGGGCAACTGCCCTTACAGAGACGTGCACTTCAGGGCCCCTTGGAATCCAGTGCCATTCTGGTCAAAGGACCTCGGGGGTACTTTGCCCAAGGCCAGCAAAACAAAGGCGGTCAGGGTGTGAAGGGAGAAAGAGTAGAGTCAGGCACAGGCCAGACTCCAGTCTCTACTGCAGACAGGCTGGGCATGAAATGCAAACAACAGCAAAAAGACCTGGCTTTCAAGTATCATTTAGTTCCAATATATAGTTTTAAAAGTGGATGTGATATAAAATTTTTCTTTTTAAATCCTACTTGTTTTTAGAGCTACTTTTCACATTAACTAACTTGTGGCTGTAATGTGGCTCAGCAAGAAAGGGCTTGCTGCATAAACCCAGCCACCTGAATTTGACCCCTGGAGCCCTTGTAAAGGTAGAAGGAGGGAAACCATGCCTGTAGGCTGACCTCTGACCTCCACATGTGCACCATGGCACCAGAGCACATGTGCACACGTGCACACACACACCAATAATAAAGGAAAAATATATAGTACCCACAATGAGTATAGAACATGCTGGATTTCACAGACCAATTTTAATAATTTTTAAAAATACTATTTAACAGTTTATTTTTCTGCATATTTGATGTTTTCATATATTAGGATAAATCAATTATTAAATTATATTTTATGTAAAATATAATAAATCAAATTATTAACAAAATATAAAACATAAAATGACATTTGCCAGTATCTTTCTAAAATAATAACTAGAAAAATTAAGTTGCATATGTGCCTCAAGTTCTATTTCTATTGGACAACACTGATGGAGTTTTCATTCTTTTTTTATAGCTGTTATGTTATTACCTTGCACAACATCCACAATTTAAACTTTTTAAGTTTAAATTTAAACAATTTAAGTCTGTCTTTGATGTGTGCTTGAGTTGTTTCTTACTTTTAACAATGAAGTGAGGAAGAGTCCTGGAGAGATGGCTCTGACAGAGGAAATGGCTCTGACAGAGGAAATGGGTTTGGTTTCCAGCACATGGCTCACAACTAACCTATTGTAATCACTGTTCCAGGGGGTTCAGTGCCCTCTTCTGGACTGTGCAGGTACTGCAGGCATGTGATATGCATATATACATGTGGGCAAAAACGTTCATACACATAAAATCTTTGAAATGCATCAGGGGCCGATGAGACCTTTCAGTGGGCAGAGGTGCCTATCACTAAGCCTAATAACATGAATTCAGTCCCCAGACCCATATGGTAGGAGATTGATCCCCAAGATGGCCTCTTTGAGCTAGCCAGTAATATATGAGCATTGGCCAATCATAATTAATTCCACACTTGCATGATGGTACCCCTTCACCTTCTCCCTCCTGCCAAATTAAATAATAAATAAATAAATGCAGTCAAGTTTAATGCAGTAATGCCTATCCTATCCATGCATGTCAGAATGAGTGCAGGCTGACCTATGTGTCCCCATAACTTGGACTATTTGCAAATGGACACATTTGCATTATCAGTATTCTCAAATTGTTCCCCATAACCACTGCACTAATGTGTACTCTATACCTTCTCCACAGCCTGCCACCCAAAACAGCTTATCATCTAGTGTGTCATAATTACACATTTTTTACTGATCTGAGAATTTTCATTTTTTTTTTTTTTTTTTTTTTTGAAACCAAGTCTTATTATGAAACTTGGGTAGGCCTCAGACCTGTGGCGATCCTCCTGACTCAGTTCTCCTGAGCATGTCGGTGTGAGCCACCATGCCAGGCTGAGAAATTTTTAAGGAGGAATCGTAAATACTTTGCCTGACTTCCTGTTCTGTTTTTTTAAAAGAAAATATTGGTGACTTTCCAAGGAAGTTGAAAACTTTATCACTAGGGATTTAGACAGCGAAACTGAGGAGGCTGGAATGGTCAAGGGCATTTCCTCTTGTTTACGTGGCCTTTGAGTTCTTGACCTTCTCAGGTGAAGAAACTGTCCACAAGAAGGTTTTGCTCTTTCTAATTCAGGCTGCGCCCTGGCAGCTAAGAGCTACAGACTACAGGGTCCTTGATGCCCCTTCTGCGGTCAGTGCCAGGCCCTCTCAGCACTCTGAGACTTGATGCCTTCTGCTGCCCTCCCCCTCCCATCAGATGTAAAGAACTGGATACTCACAAAAACAAATGCCTCATGTTTCCTATTATTGGGGCAATGAGGCTCTCGTGATGAGGAATCTCACCACGATGTTAGCAGTGGGTCTCATAAACTCAAAAACAAGAATAGTGAAGCCTGCTTCTTGGGAACAGGAGGTGGTTTGGGCAAAGCTGGAAGTGTAGAAGTGTTTTACAGCAAGCATGAATGTAGTGTTTACTACTTTGGTATCATTTTAATACAAAGGGGTGAAGAACCATCATGCTGACCTCAGCATTTGTTGGCATTGCTTCTTCATGGGTGTGAATTAAGAATCAGTACTGGCTTGTTCATAGGAAACAGCAACACTGCATGCAGTGCCCCTTTCTGCTTCTGTCACTAACCCCACCTAATTGCTGTTTCAGGAAGGATTTTCACTCATTGGCAGCAAGAGCTGGCTGAAGATTGTAAGACGCGTAGACTGTCTTCTGTTTGGAACAACGATAAAGGTAAGATGACACAGAGCTGTGTGACAGCCATGTTTACACTAATGCCCCACTCCTCCTGTTGCTGTGTGTTTGGCAGGGTGGGTATGGGGAGCTTCTGGGTGGGTGAACCAGTGATGGGAAGAAAGGTTTGCCCAGTAAGCAAAACCCAAAGGGAGCTGGAGCTGCCCCTGGTGTGCAGTCTGGCTAGTAGATATGGGCTGTGCAACTTCTGTGCTCTGAGCACTGGGTTGGTATTATGTGTCTGGTGAGTTAGATGCTTGCTTAAAAGAGTATTTTTGACAGTTCATTGAATATGTGTGTTCACTTTTTCTCAATATAATATTAAAAAATAAGATCTGGGTGTGGTGGTGCACATGTAATCCCAGCACTCAGGAAGCAGAGGCAAGCTGATTTCTGAGACTTCAAGGCCAGCGTGGTCTACATAGTGAGCCCCAAGTCAGCTAGGGCTATGTACAGAAACCCTGTCTCAAAACAAAAAAACAAAGTCCCTGGCCAGTAAGATGGCTTAGTGGATAAAGGTGCTTGCTACCAGAGCCTGTGTCCAATCTGTGGGACCCATAAAATGAAAAGAGAGAACCCACACCCATAAGCTACACTCTGACCCCCATGGGATGGCACCTTGGACAAACCACAGACACATTTAACTCAGCTCCAGGGGATCTTACTCTCTTGTAACCTCTGTGGGCATCCACATACATGTACACATAAGTAAATAATTCAAGTAAATCTTTAAAAAATAAAATTCCTTTTTATTTGTTTGCTAGTTGTGTTTAATGTAAAGGCTAATCCTCAGGAGAGAAACATACAAACTCATCACCTAGATGGCGCCCCTTCAAAAATGACCATGGAAAGCAGTTTGTTAACATCCACTGAGCATGTAACAATGATATCTAGAGGAAAGGTGCTAATTTTTAAGTAACTCACAAACCTTAGGAACTAAAGGAGAGCCCAGGGACAGATCGTAACGTGGAGCACAGGCCCCCAAAAACCTCACAGAGTTCAGGGGTCTATGAACCTATAGGGATTTTCAGTGACTTCTAACTTGTCAGTTGTTATGGATGTGGATGGCAAATTGCAATAGTATGGAACTTCCCACAGTGGACCCACAAATACTTCCCTGTCACATTTATATTCATACTGACATTTAGCCTTTTACAGTACATGAACAAGAAAGCCTACATGAGCAGTTCACAGGTAGTGTTCTGAGTCAGTTTGTTTTTTTATTATTCTCTCATGTGTTACATCTATAGTTTCCCCCTCCCTCCTCTCCTCCCAGTTTCTTTCCCTCACTCTCCTCTTTCCCAGATCCATTCAATGGCAAATTTCATGATGTCATTGTTTTTAACAGATGAGTGATAATTCACTGTGTAAATGCACCACATTTTCTGTATCCATTCTTCTGTTGAGGGACATCTAGGTTGTTTCCAATTTCTGGTTCTTCTGTAGAAAGCCACTATGAACATAGTTGAGCAAGTGTCATTGTGGTGCGATGAAGCAAGCAGCCTTTGGGTATATTAGCAGCAGGTGTCTTTACACTAAGCTGTCTTGCAGGCCTCCCCAAATACTTCTGACACTTAGCAAAATCCTATTTCTTTTCCCTTTTCTGCTGCTTAATGTCACATAACTAGTGCTTGCTTCTGCCTTCTGTCTTAGTTAGCTTCTTGCTTTGGATCACTTTAATTGCTAAGAACTATGCAACATACACTATTGTTTAAATTGACAAATAGAGGTAAAGTTTGCATTCCTGTAGCAGAAATTTAACATAGTTTATATTCTTCAGATAGTAAACATTGTAGTTTTTCTCTCCTCAGGCAGGATACACAGACTAAAATAAAATAGGCTTGTGAGGTGGGTCTCCTTCCTTTGAACGGTTCTTATCACTAGTGGGAACAATGGCCAGCTGGCTAACAGCAGACATTTAATTCTTATCTGAAGGGAACTTTGGATGAAAGGAGTAAGTCCAAACCAGTGTGAACTTCATTTCTCATCCCAGTAACTCACTAAAGAAATTTTGTTGATTTTGTCCAGCTGGGGCTTTGAGAATTATCTATTGGTTTCAAAGCAAATACACTGAAACTTGTTCTCTGAACATATTAGTCAATTTTCCATTGCTATAATGAAATAACCGGCTAGGTTACATCATGAAGAAAAAGGGTTTATATAGCCTGCAGTCTGGAGGCGAAAGGGTTTGGTCTTCTTGCTGACAAATATCTCAAAGTGGTATAGGGCAAGAACCAGGGAGCAAGCATGTGTCTAGTCTCTCCCAGTGACCTTCTGTAATCTGATGGCCTCCTAAAGGCCCGACCTCTCAACACTCCAGTGTTAGTGTCTGATCTCTTGGGCCTCAAGATCAGGCTGCAGTTTGAACAGATGATCCCTCAGCATGGAGGTTTCCTGTCCTCAACGTTCTGACAGTTCAGACATTCAGTCAGCTGAGATCTTGGTGAAATCTTGGCAGTGGCTTTATATTCTTAGGACCTCATAGGAAAGCACAAGAGGTGTGTGAGCTCTCTGATGCGTCCCTGGCTGTGTGGCACTGGGGTAGCACATCATCCCGGCAGGGTGACAATGAGCTGCTGTAGAGCGGCTTGTCAGGGTGTCAGCACTGCTGAGTCCACTCCCCCCCTGGGAAGAAAAGGCCCTGCTTTGCGGTGAGTGGAGACAGCCAGCATTCAGCCTCACCCACTCCATCCATCAGGGGGTCTGTGCAAAGTGGAGTTTCTGTTATTACCTAACTTGAAACGATCTACTTCCATCAGAACCACTTCAAATACTGTAATTCCCTGAGTGTAGCAGAGACTGTCTTGACAGTTTGTGAATTTAAGAATGTTTTCCTTGGAGCTGGAAACATGCTCAGCAGACAGGGAGAACTCACTGCTCTTGAAGGCCAGAGTTCTGTTCCCAGCACCCACTTGGCTGCTCACTCACAACTGCCTGTAACTGCAGCTCCAGATCTGAAACCCTCTTCTGGCCTTTGTGGGCTCGTGTGTGCACACATAAACTTTTTAAAAGACCCTTTTGTTTCCAGAAAGATCTTTGAAAACAAATGTCAAGAGTCTCGTCCTAGCGCCCCTTTTGGTTGGCCTGGTGGCAGTGAGTGAGGACGAAGATGAAGATGTGGTTTGTTTTTTTTTTTTTTTTTTTTTTTTTTAGTCTCCCTGTGTGCGCTGCTTTCAGCTTGGGTCTTGCACTGAGGTGCATTTCTGGCTCCAGATAGTAAGCTAATTCCTAATAACTTAGATGTAGGTGGGGAAGGCAGGCACAGACATCACCTAAGGCTTTCCCTCTCAGTAAGCCTTAAGTGTCTAAACCAGTTCCTGCACATGCTCCAACCAGAGGCACAACTGCTAATGGTGTTTGTGCCTGTTCATTTGCTGTGTTTATGCTGCAGCTTCTCAGCAAAGTTCCAGGTTTTGGTGCCTGCAACTCTTAAGGGCAAATGGCCGCACAGGTATCTTCCTACAGCGCCTAGAGTAGGATGAGTTCAAGATAACCAAGTGAGAAACTGGGTGGCTAACATACCATCTCCTCTCCTCACAGAAGGCCACTTCTAATGACTTGATAACTTTGTAAATCATTCACCCCAAAAGATTCCAGGGCTAAAGTCAGTAGTAAGCACACACAAAATAAAAATACAAACTAGGAAGCTTAAGAAAAATCAAGCTCAATTATAACCAGAGAAATGCAAGTTTGAAAATCTGTTTACCTATTATGTGATAAAAATGAATAAACATCTCGGTGCTGGAAGGCACAGGGAATAGGCACATGGGCAAATTGCATTTAGGCATTTTTAATACAAAGATGCTTTCAGACTTTATAAAGCTCTGTGTGTGGTTTGCGATAGGAGAAGACTGGGGCAACCTGAATATCTGTCAGTGGGAGGCCAGTTAAATAAAGGGATAGGCTCCAGCTTTCAGAAGTAATGAGCTAGACTTCTATTTTTATACACCCATTGAATAGAAAATTAGGCTACAGCCCTGTAGCTTAAAAATATGCACAAAATACAACCTGTATATTATGTATTATATAGGAGAGCTCTAAGATGTCTTCTAACAAATCAGGATACAAAAGATGTCCAAGGGAGTGATGGCAGTTAACTCACCCTCAAAGTAAATGGAAATACAAGTAGAAGCAGGGTGGTGAGGGGGTGGGGCATGCTGCACACTCCCTACAGTCCAAGACTTTGGCTCTGTTTTGGTGAGTTTTATTTAAACAGAATAAATTGATCCAGGGAAAAGCAACAATTGGCTTCTAGGAACTTTCATAATTTTGCTGAGGTCAGAAGTGTTTTCACAGGGATGGAGAGATAGCTTCATGGTTAAGAGCAATAGCTGCTCTTCCAGAGGACCCAGGTTCGATTCCCAGCACCCACATGGCAGGTCACAACTGTCTGTAACTCAAGTTCCTGGGGATCTGACACCTTCACACCAATGCACATATAAAATAAACACTAACACATGAGATTTACATATTTTTATATAGTAAAAAGGGTGGTCATCTCAGCACCTGCTGTTCCTATGGAAAAGCTGCATTCAGTGCTGCTTGGGTAGTTTTATGTAGGTTGACTCATCCAGACAGAGTACTAACCTGGAAGAAAGAAACCATTGCTAGCAGTTTTATGTTATTACAACCCAGGTCTGTTTTTAAGCTAACAGTCATAACTCTAATGAACTGTCACATATAGGTTTGGGAGGGGGAGTTGTTTATAGTTGCACCTGTCTCACATTTGTCATTTTGCTGGAGGGCTGGAGGGTGTAACTCACATAGGAAACTAAAGGCTTTCCCTTTATGTGACTTGTGTGACAGTATGGTGTCCTAAGGAGAAAGGGCACTAGAGTTACTAATGAGGTGCACAGCTTTGAGCATCTGCCTGTGCCCTCCTCCCCAGGAGCTCACTCACTACCTCACTGATGATGCAGCCAGCTTTCGCCCATCACCATCCTGTGTAAGTGTCCAGGCCTACAGGGTGTTCATCAAGGCCAGAGCTCAGTCTCCTCAGCCTCTCTCCACTTCCTTTTTTGAGGCACTGAACTGGGCACTTACTATTTCAGCCAGGCTGTGGGGCCACTGAGACCCTGGGACCCTCCGGCCTCCACTCCCCAGTGCAATGATCACAGTCTGAGCTGCAATGCCTGGCTCCTACCTGAGTGCTGGGGATCCAATGTGGGTCCTCCTGTTTGCATGGCAAGCTCTTTAGTCACAGAGTCATCCCCGGGCCTGGCCGCTCTTCCCTTCCCATTCAGAAACATTATGCTGAACCAAGACTGTCATATACTATTTTCAGATTTTTCTACTTAAGGAATTAGATGCTGTGCTATTTTATATGCTAACCTAAAACTTTATTAAAAATTTAAAAATACCAACTGTAAAATCTGTATTAAAACAAGACAACCTACCACTCAAGTCAGTAGAGTGAAGTCCAGTTTGTTAGTGTCAGTTGCCCAAGGAAAATGCATGAGGAAAGGCTTCTAATAAAGCACAAAAACAAGTTCCTGGCTTTTCTGTACTGACTTGCCCCAACAAACAAGAGTGCGTTCACCAGAAGACCCCACAGCAAACAACATGACACTTGATTTTCCCACAGAGCAAGAGCCGCATGTTCCGTGTACAGTTTAGTGGGGCATCCACCGAAGAGGCGCTGGAGCGCTGCTGCAGCTGTGTGCAGACCCTGGCCCAGTACATCACCGTTGAGGCACCTGACAACATTGTCCAGCAGCTTCGCCAGAGCCCAGGCCCACTGGGGGCAGGAGAAAGCCAGGAGAAGGACCAACTGCATCAAGGGGTGAGTGCTCATGTGCTGGCTACACAAGAAACTTGACGGAATGCACTGTGAAGACCCAGGTGGAGCTGTCAGGTCCACCAGGCTGCTCGGTCACCTCTGATACCAGCTCCAGGAGATCCAATAACTGCTCCTAGCCTCCTTACTCATGTACTGTTGAGTGTATGTATGTATACACACACACACACACACACACACACACACACACAGAGTTTTAAAAGTATCTAATATTAAGTGGTCTTTTAAATTCAAGGTTCATACTTTTAAATTAGCTGCCTAAACATGAAGAAATAAGACAGGGAGCCCCAGTTGTATTCCAATGTCATCACAGAACAGGTATTCTCAAAGCCTGACCACTGGGACCCTCAAGGTCAAGACCATTTTCATCACAGTAAATAAAACATTATCTACCACTTTTACTGTCTGCATTGTTAGGCCCAAAAGCCTTGGAGGGTCAGGCTCTTGACACTACAAAGGCAAGCAGTGCCTTCCTTCACAAGGCATGCAGAGTAAAATAGGTCCACACTGGATGAGTGCTGGTTGTTTCTGGAAAGCACCCGGGCAAGACACATGGCACTGGCAGCCAAACTGCCTCTGTGCTCAAGTCATGTCCTTCCCAGAGCCATGGGCACCCAGAGCAGTGCAGCTCTCAAGAGTATTCCAGAGGGAGGCTAGGCCTTTCAGTCTAGACAACAGTGGACACTACTTCCTGACAGTAACAGGTCATGGTTTTAGTGTTAGGTTCTACCCTCTAAACTGCAATCCTCCTTTCCCAGCCACCAGAGTGCTAACATTACAGTGTGCTGGGCCTAAAGTCTAAGCTGAAATTAGAATCTTGGAAAACTTGAGTATCACACAGGTGCCAGGCCTTCCTGACCCAAAAGACATTCCTAAGCCTAAGTGAATGTGATTTATCCTTTATGAACAAGTGACAAAATGTGTTAACATCTGGAAGTTAGGTGTAGTTGACTGAACCAGTATCTATAGGCTGGCCAATGTATGGTGCCTGAAGATTCTGAATAGCTAAAGAAAGTGATCCAAGTGCAAAATGGACAGGTGGCTGCAGTGTCAGGGTATTTCATGTTCACTGCTATGGTTCAGTGTGTGCTGCCTATGTATATATAAACAAGTAAGACAAGTTATGGCTACACCATGTGGAAACACGTGCAGACTGTGGCTGTTAGCTGGAACAGCAAGCTAAGTCTCTAGGGTGCTGACTTTAAAGGCTGGACCCAGACTATCTAGGTAGAAACGTCCTAAAAGTATGGAGTCTATTTTCAGGAACTTGTTTCATCTATAATTTGGTGTTCTGGATAGTTGAAATAGCCTGATGTTATGCAAAGGCCATACGCTCTAGTATCTGAACAGAGCTGGGTTAGAGTTCTGACCTGGTTTTGTGTTAGCTGTGTGATCTCATGCAAGCCAAGGACTTCTTCTGTGAAATGGTGATTGAGAAATGCTGGGAGCATCGAACAGTGCCTGGCAAACAAAACAGAAACCACACTGTCCACCACAATCACTGCTGCCAGCTCTTCCTGCCAGTGGGCAAAGATGAGAACCTCCTGCATCCAGAAGGAGCAGGAAACACGCTGAAGCAGCAGATCAGAAGGCAAGGTGAAGCCCCTGAAGCACAGCCTGGAGCAACCCTGTCTTAGATCAAACATTTCCTGAACTGACCAGCAACTTCTGGCATACAAATTTTGATACATGCTTAGTCTACCGTAAAAGTTGAGGGTCATTGCTGCATTCAGGTGTATCATCTACCAATACCATGTCTTTTTAGTCTAAGGTGTTCCCTTCTATGGAGATAGGAATAATTCTATGTCTTTTCTATTTAAAGCTCTTGAGTCATTTTCTTGGCCTGTTTTAGTTTTTACTTTTCTTCAGCCTTGTAATTTTGTTAATTGTGGCCTCACCAGGTGTTTCTCAACCCAGGGCTCAATGTAACCCACCAGACCCTAGGAGAGGGCTGGGCAGGGAGTGGGGGCAAATAGGAAGGTGGTAGTTCTTATGACCTTGTCTCTTAGTGAGCACAGAGGTAGATGAAGTGTCACTATGTGCACAAAGCCTTCCTTTCTGCTGGTGAGGTAGAACACCTGAGTCCAAGAGTCCAGCAGATTACTGAGTTTGGCTACCTTTGGCTGCTGTTCATTTGGGGGATGGTATTTTGGCTGACTTTTCTCACTGTGTGAGCTAAACTGATAGGTGTCCTAGGAAAGCACTGACGGCAGAGATGGAGGGTCACCAGAGTTTGACCTCTGTAACAGAGAAACAGTAGAACCTGGACATGTGAAGTAGGCTTTCCTAAGGACTGCTGACTACATAGTCCAATTGAATTCCCCACCCACACCCCACACCTGCCTTGGCCTTTTCCCATTTTTTATTTTGGTATCCACTAGTTCTCATTGTGCATCCATCCCTATTTGGAGAGGGGAGGCGGTACTTCCAAGTCTGGTTTTCTGTAACCAACTCACTGGCAAGTCAGCTTCCACACAGAAGGCAGGCTGAGCAATCTGCTTCTGGCAGACAGACATGTTTGTGATGGACAAGAGGAGCCCTCAGAGAACAATTTGTTCCCTTTCTCTGTTATACCCTCAGTCCCCACCTAGTACAGGAATACTCTTATCCTCAAGATTAGCAGTGTGGCTACAGGTTCCCAGAGCAGGGCCAAGCCCATGGATGTACTAGGTGATGAGCTCCTGGGTAAAGCTCACACACTGGCTCAGCACACTTCTGCTTGGCTCTTATTAGACTATGGCATTCTAGAGAATGGAGCCTCTGTCCTACTCATCTAATGTCCATCCTGTACACTCAGTGCCTGGGATAAAGTAGATACAAACAGTTGCTAGAACTATCTAAGGAATTTTATTTAATAAAAAACTCAGAACTGAACAATGTTCAAAATGAGATCATTAAAATGTACTCTTGCCCAGTGGTGGTGGCACATACCTTAAGTCCAGCACTTGGGAGACTGAGGCAGGTAGATCTCCAAGCCTACAGAATGAGTTTCAGGACAGCCAGAGCTACTCTGAAACCCTGTCTTAAGAAACAAACAAACAAACAAAAAGTTCTCTTTTTAAAAATGTCTCACAGTATACAGGGGTTCCCTGTTTTGCATTTGCGATTCATGAACAAACCTAAAGGGTTCCACGCCCATACACACATACAGTACTCCTGCTTCCTTGGGTGATAGTCCTGAGTAATGCAAGGGTCTTCTAGACAGAAGTGTGCTGTGGTGGCTAACAAGGCTCTAACTGCCCATCAGCCTGAGATCACCAGTGCTGTGGTAGAACAAGTAGGGCCTGACCAGGACTGTCCCTCCTAAGTGTGAGTTTTCTGTATATTTGTTTGGCTCTGAAGGTGAAGCCTTGGAGCTGAGGACTCTACCTCCACTAAGCTAAATCTCTAACCCCCTCCTCTAACTGCATCTGTCTCTGTTGAGCAGCAGATGTGTGTGGCAGCGGGCACTGGCACTCTGGAAGGAAGGACTTCAGTGATACAGCTAGCTCAGGTATTTCTGTGTTGGGTTTTGTCCCTAAAAATAGTACCCCAATTCATTCTCTTACTATAGAAACAAAACAAAGTATTATTAACAGAAGGTAAGAGGACCATTTACCCTACTCTTGGAGCACACAGGATGGCATGTGTAGACTGCCTGTCTACATAGGGAAATGAAGGAAACTGGCTGTGTTATAAAAAATTTAAATCACCACCTCCCCAAAAGAATAAAATAAATAATTTAATTTTGGAATTAAGATTGTAAACTATTCTAAAACAAATACCCAAACCAAATCTGGACTCTGTAGCCTGAAAGTTGGCCCTGCAGGAACTATAGTCTCAATTACAGAGCATTGGAAGGTAGGAGGAAGACATTAAAAAAAAAAAAAGAAAGAAAGAAAGAAAGAAAGGAAGAAAGAAAGAAAGGAAGGAAAAAAGAAAATCCCTATTGCTGTTTTTCTAAACATGGGCTCTGTTAAAGAAGGCCCTGGAACCATTTCCAGAGCATTTACTATGAACACCCTAGTTTCAAGGACAGAGGAGGATAAAAGCCTATTATGGGCTGCCTATGCCTTCAAGTCATTCTAAGACGAAATAGTTAAATGTTTCAAACACCTAACTCTGGAATGTTATAGCTTAGCAACATAAGCATGGAGTACAGGCTGCTGACCTTTGTGCCTGGGACAGGAAGCCAGAGCTCCCTGTGCTATCTGCATCACCAGAGAAGACTTCTCATGTTGCTGTCCAAGGAAAGGACAGATGGTGAAGTGCAATGTCTACTGAATACAAACTACTTTTATTCCATTGTCAAGTCAAGAAATCACGGGACTGAGACTCATTAAAAAGGGACTGTTTGCACTATGATTTTTTGCACTATGATTTATTAATCAAAAATATGACATTTTTGAAAAGGCAACGGGAAGGTTGGAGAAGAGATTCATAAACATCAACAGCAAAAGAGATTTTCTTAAGGCCATAAAATATCCTGTATTTTCATTGTAGGAGAGGTTGCATGTTTTGTCAAATTACTCAGATGGCCACCAACAATCCCCCCCCCAAAAAAAAGTGCATGATTTTTGTTCTTTGGATGGTCCATTTACAATGACTTCCCCCAACCCTGCTTTTGTTGGTAATGTGAAGGATCAAACTCTGCACTTTATCCATACTGTGCAAGTATTCTACCACTTACCACTAAGCTACATCCCCAGGTAGATAGCTATTTCTTTCATTCAGAATCCAACTTCCACATGAAGAATGTTAGTAGCATAATGGTCATTATCCAGATCTTATCCAGATCTCAACTTTATAGGTACATCCCTCAATACATCTAACAGATCCAAGTTTATCTCACTTTTTGTGTATATCCAGAAAATGTAGAGCTGGACACATTCACATTAAGTAGTTAGTACCTACCTATATAATCCAGATACTTGGGACATAGAAGCAGGACCATGGACTTGAGACCAGCCTGGGTGATAAAGTGTGCCAGAGGGAGAGAGTAAAATTATCAAGTGAAACCTAAGTGCAGAAACACTTGTGTAAAGCCAGGAACAGTTTAGTTTTCAGTATGTGTTTTTGAATTTGTGTTATATCATTTGGAATAGTGTTCCCACCTGCAACTACCTCTTTTGGCACCCCTACAGACTATTCTGGCATCGGAGAAGCTGCCCCTAGCCTATGAGCAATCTTCATGGGGAGCAGAAGAGTTGGGCCCCTTTCTGCGCTTATGCCTCATGGATCAAAACTTCCCAGCATTTGTGGAAGAGGTAGAGAAGGAACTTAAGAAGATCACACAGGGTTAAACTAAAGCCCTGTACACACATGTAATTAAGGAAGGAACTGAAGGTATCTGAATAAATATTATTCCAAGCACCTTTTATCAATGTTTTATTGTTAAAAAGAGGTGAATCCACTTTTTTTGTACACCATTGCACTTCAATAATTACACAGAACACAAGTACATGCATCTACAGTTAGTACCGCATGAGAACCCAGTCAGGTTATAAAATTGATCATCAATCATTAAATCAATGTGAAAAATACAGTGTCAAACCAAAAAGTATAACTAGAGTTGCATAGAATATCACCATGCTATTGACATTTCAGGGTCATTGAAAACAAAAGGGAAATTATAAAAGTTGCCTTGATTGAATGTACAAGAATAAGGTTCAACACATCGGTGCAAAAGATTTCAGAATTTACATGATTTGACAAAAGGAAAGTAGTCACTTAAAAAGCAATCATACATATATATACTGCAATTCATTATAGCCGTTCAGTGGACTGTTCCAGGTTCTTAAAAGTTATAGGGTAAGCCCTTAGAATGACAGACTTAAGTTTATATTCTCATCTTTATGTACCAGACAGAACTGCAGCTTCCTGATCTGACAACAGACAATAAGGAATGGGTATCAGCAGCTTAAAAATGAAACAAGCATTTACTTTATTTTGGATTTCTCCCACCCCCAAAAATATAAATATATATGTATATTTATATACTGTATATATCTGTAGGTTTTGCTGTACTTTACAAAATGGTCACTAGATGGCAGCAGTGCATTTAGAGCTTTGCCAATTTAACAGCTGCATAAAAAATGGCGCATGCATGACCTGATCCTCAGAGGACCTTTTCATTTCTATTTAAATATTTTAACAAAGGGAAAGGAAGCAACATTCACAGCACATCAAGCCCAAAATAGTTTACACCTTCTACACTGAAGCATTGTTTAAAATGTACCTGGCTAGGTCACCCTTATAGGAGAGGCTAAATAAGGCATGCTTTAGACGGTCATTGTGGTGTTGCTCACTTGAAAGGGAGAGACCAAAGAGGTCCAAGCAGAAAATTTAGCGGGTCGTGTTGCCACCGTTTTCAGGAACCTAAAGAGCTATAAAGAAAGAAATATTTGAAAACTAAGAGAATATGCAATGTCACTCACAAGCTATGTCAGTGCCACATCAAATAAAGCTTTGGTTCAAACAGCATGCTCAGGGATGTGGTATGAAATTCTGATCTCCATGTGTATAAGCATGCTGCCTGATAGCCACTGTCTCTGCATTGCCTTCAGTAGAGATAACACATGGCACTAATAGGCCTTTGGGAATAATCTACCTAAGAAGGTAACCATTTATTTTTTAAAAATATATAAGTAGACTACAATACAAGGCATTTATTATTAAATTAACTGAATATAAATATGCTGAGACACATTCCTTTTCATACACTGTAGTGAACAGAAATAACCTGTTCCATCAGTATCAGCTATTTTGAAATTAACAATTAGGTCTTAACAGGTAACAACAACTACTGAAGAATTTGTAGCTAGGTGAGCAGAGGCACAGTTCATTGGATTACAACTTTTAAATCTCTAAAGGCGGCCATACTTACATTATAAGCAGTGTACTTAATTTGTGTTTCTCTGGCGCAAGTTTTTATCTTTGTGATTGTTGGTAGAGTTGGTTTTCCTTTGGAGGAAAAATTGCACTGTGTGAGTTCAACTAGTCATATCATTTGAAAAATGCAACACATGGAAACAGAGACTCTTCACTCACTTCCGTCCCTGGTGTAGCAGCAAACTCTACTTCTAGTGTGTAACAACATTCCTTACATAAAGTACCTCCTACTTTCAGTGACTAGATCCTTCAGACTTCCAAGGAAGAGAACACACAGGTAATGTTCCCTTAGACTTCTTTTCCTCTCCCCTTTTCCTCTCCCCTCACCTCCCCTAGACATTTTTTCTGTAGCTTTGGAGCCTGTCCTGGAACTTGCTCTATAGACCAGGTTGGCTTCTAACTCACAGATTTCGTCTGTCTCTGCCTCCTGAGTGCTGGGATTAAAGGTGTGTGCCACCAATTCCCAGCTCCCTTAGATTTTGAAACTATAGTTACTTACAAAAGTGAGAGAGACTTAACTCCTCTGAACATTTAATTTCTTAAACGATAAAGATGATCAGCAATGAGCCATGCTGAGCCCTTTGGCCGTTAACCCACTAGAACTGCCCCTTTGCCTTATCATCGCCAACTCTAGGAAAGCCTGGTAGCCTTGGACACATTCCATATTATAGCTTCATCTCTTGTCAGCAGTTGTTAATGAAACTAGACAGTAGTTTTAGCTAATTCTTCAGTCCAGTTTGAAGTGACTTGGTTATATGCTTATTTTTCCTATATCAGCTTAAGCATGAAAAATATTTAACTTCTTTCAACTTCTTTTGCATACTATTTACTTGTATGGCTAAAAAACAAGACTTGGCCTAGGAATAAAGAGGTCACCAGTCAGAATTATGTCAGGCTTAAAAAGTGTACATTGCAACTTTCATTGTAAGGGAATTGCCTTCTCTTACAATCTTTAGTATTCCTTTTTGACTAAACTGCAAACACAACGCAATTCAATCAAACTGTAAAATCATATCCAATGAAGTACTCACATTGGCCCGGCTGGTTCATCATCTATATGAGGTGTTCAGTTTTTAATAATCCATGAAATATAAGAAGAAAGGAGAAAACTGTTAGACTCTGCATAAGAATGAACAGGACAGTAAACTGCAAGTGGCAAACATGGCTATTCATAGCATTTATTAAAGGCCATTCCATCTGGAGGTGCAAAACACTCATGAAGTTATTTCTAGATTCAGTTTTAATGGCAGATATGTTCTTTCAATGGTTTTAGTTAACACTTTGAATGCTCATCATGAAAAACTGCAACTGTAGTGGACAGATAGGCTGCAATATCATTGTACTCATCGTGTCCCCAAGTTCCAGTGGTTCACTCATAAATAGATGAGAAGACAAACCAACATTTCAGTTGTAAAATCCTGCTGTTTGTTTTCTTGTAGAGAATATATGCAGTTCTTCAATATAAATGGATGTGTACAATTATATACATTTAACCACACATCCTCATTTCCCCAGAGGACACTGTTTGTCCTGCTGTTTTACGATCTTTATGAGGTCACTGTTCTGAAACATAAGACTGAGGAAGATAGAGCCAAACCTACTCCTTGGCTACCCAGCTCAACTGGGCCAGCAAAAGACATGAGAAGCAAAGGGTGTTCTGTGACATCACAGGGAGAGCTAAACAGTGACACCCCTCTTAAAAAAAAAAAAAAAAAAAAAAAAACTACGTAAAAAGGTGGGCTCATTATTGTGGGCCTTGGCCAAAACAAGAAAAGCCATGAGATGTTTGTTTTTTTTTTTTTTTTAAGTAAGTTTTGTTCCTTGTGTTTAGAAGCCTTATTAATACTTCATAGTTCTGACATATTGTTCTCCTCTTAGTAGATATGCATAATTAAGAAAATGCCATTAAAATAAAAAAAAAGTTATTTAAAAACCAAGAAAGGGGAGGGCACAAATAAGCACCCTTTGTTTTTACTGTACAACAGTTGTGTGCTTTCACTGAAGGCATCTAGAAAAACTCTCAGCAGGATTCCACAAGGGGGCTTGGTGCACATGAAGCAGTTATGGAGATTACAGTCTTGGTGTAGGCATCTGCAGAGCACATGTCAGGAGTAATGTCTGTCAGGGAGACATTGCTCCACCTGTTCCTTTCAGGCAACGGAGAGGCAAAGCCACCGCCAGCACACAGTGACTGGAGCAAAACAGGATTAAAAAAACAAACAAACAAACTAAACAAACTAACCACAAACCAATGACTCATCAGCAAAACAAGGGGCTAGCAACATACCGGTGTCCACAGGAGTCCACTACTAACAGTGCTATTAAAACAGGTACAGAGAACAAACTAGGACTCAGGACATCCAAGACATCTGCTGTGTATGCAGTGGAAAAATACAAGGACATACCAGGTACTAAGACACACAAGCCCAGCCTGAACCCTTCCTTCTCCACAGCCTACTGCTCAGCACCCAGGGCAAGCCAATCAGGTAACATGCTAAAAGCTAAGCACCTTGGGAATTTAAAGACAACACAGGAACAAACTGACTAATTTTAGTGTGCAACCCAAAGTACAAAATTCTAATGCAAGACAGCCAAATCTACTCCCAACTTTAAAAAACAGGAGAGGGGGGAATCACAATAGCAAAGCCAGTCTTTTCCTAATAGGACACTAGACTAACCCAAGCACACTTGATACCACAGTCTTTTCTTTTGGTGTGGGGGTGTCTAAATGTCTCTTTCCAACCTAACAAGCTGGCCACATGCAAGGGTTTGCATGTGAGTATGTGAGCGACAGTGTCTCTGGTGCAGCTGCCATGCCTGAAAGTGGGAGCAGCTGTGACTCAGGTGTCTAAGTCCCAGGAACCCCCACTTCATTCCCAAATCCACTTGGACACCACAAAGAAGAGGACACGCACACCCCCCCTCCTCTCCTGTGCTGAGCCACTGCCTGCAGCATCACTCTCCCATACAGGCCAGACAAAAGAACAACTTGACCTCCACAGGCAGGTCAGGAGAGAACAGAGCTACAGAGAAAGGCACAAAATAAAGTAAATGAGGACTAAACAGCAAACTAAAAATCCAAATTAGTTGTGAAAGTGAATGAAGTAAACTTGAAGAAAAGTGTTAACATTATGAACTGTGCATTGTATAGACTGAAGCGGAGATTAAACAAACTCCAAAAGCATGCATATCGCTCACTTACCACCATGTTTTAAGGGTTTGATGCAATTGAAGGGGAAAAAAAAGAAGTCACAGTAACCGACAAATATCAACATACCCCCAAACCCTCAGACCAAAGCTGCTTTAAACAAAGACCGTTCTCTCCACCTGGGGATTACTCACAGCCACTGGCTAGATGAGAGGAAGAGGACTGAGGGAGAATGAAACAAGATGCTTCTGGAGTCCACCTGATGAGTGTGAAACTCCTGATGAAGTGGTGCACATACTGATTTGCCTTCATGTTCTTTCCCTACTGAAGTATGACTACCCTCGAGGCCCCTACCCTGACACACACCTCATAATAAGGTAAGTAACATACTGCACCCACAATACAACTTAGAAAGTGATGACTTTAGATTCAAAACAAGTCAAGAGTTGATTTGGTCAAAGACCCTGTGCCACTTCAATCACTTCACTGGGGGTGTGTGTTCCCTCTTCTCTTTTTTGTGGGATGGGGTAATAGGATCTTATATCCCACACTGGCCTAACTCCCTACATGGCTGAGGGTGACCTTAAACTTAGGGTCCTGCCTCGACCTCCTACATGCTAGGCTTCACAGCATGCACTGCCATGGAAGTTTATAAGTGGTTGAGGATCAAAGTTGGAACCATGCCTACTAGGCAAGCCTCTACCAAGTAAGTTACATCCTCAGCTACCCTCCCCTTCTGTGGCAGAAGGACTTACTATCTAGCCTAGGCTAGCATCAAACTCACAATCCTACCTCAAGTGCTAGAATTTATTATGGTTTCTAAAATCACTCGTATTTTGCCTGATTTCAGCAGGGATTAACACTAAACACAAGAGAGAGGTAGTTCTTTGACTCATTTTCCATGTTTCAACTGTATTTTCTCATAAGGTACATGTGACTGACTCTAGTTAAGCACACAGAATGTTTTTGGTGTAACTTAAAAAAGTCATCTCTCTTCCAGCATCTCTGGCCTGCTGCGAAGCTCCATATGCAACAAATGCTTTGACCAACTAATATAATAGATTTTGAACTATCAGAACAATGCCTCAGTTCAGGGTGTCTAGAAACACTAAGATTACAATTACAAAACAGTGCTCTTCCTCCTCTGCCCCTCAAACTTGCTCGTACTGTCTCCACCAGTAACTTAAGGAACCTTTTTAACCAACTTACAAAATTACCCAAGTGTGAAAACAGAAGATTCCTGTTGTTAATATTCTCTCTCTTAAATCAGCTGTTTTAACTCAATGCCTATGAGGATACCATCTAGTAGAACTGAAGGCCTCAAGACTGAGCAGGTTCAACCCAGCCTCTATCTCCCAGTGGGCAGAAGGAATCCTAGGAGGGACATACTTAACTGTATTCTGACCTGAGTCAGAAAAGGCCTAACACAAATGTGGCTCCAAGTAGTTCAGCTGTAACAGAAGGAAGACTGCACTATTTAACACTCCCAGGGTACTCTCAATGAAAAGGCAAAGCTCTATTACTGACTTGTCACTAAGAACACTAAAAGCGAAAATCCATGTGTAAATAGTCTACCTATGAGATAACTTATGTGGTACTGGTCCTCAAAAAGATCTAACAAAGGACTAAAGGATTGTCATTTCTTCTGTGAAATGGCCAGAGTACTCAGATAAAAGGACCAAAGCTGCTTTTAAAGAAAGCAGTTAACCTCAACCATATATATTTTCAGTGTGAGAAATCTAAAGGGACACATGCTTTCCTAATTAAATTATGTATTTGTGTCCTTTTATTTTCCTGCACTGGTCACTGAGTGTTTTCCTACTTAAGGAGAAAAGTTACCAATAACTATAGACTACTGAAAAATATAAGTACATGAGTTCCTATTTAGAGAGTTCATTGAAGCTCAAATCAACCACAGATGTTGGTAATAACCTATCTATTTGGTTTATTAAAAAAAAAAAAAAAAAAAAAAAAAAAAAAAAAAGCACCCCAGACTTACAAATCTTCATGTTTCATAGTGGCATAATAAGCTAACAGACATTATAGGTAAGATTTCATCAATGAAACGGAATCAAGTTTGTATCAGATAGAGTGCACCTCTTCATTCATCCTCAACAGACTGCAGTGTGTGTGTGTGTGTGTGTGTGTGTGTGTGTGTGTGTGTGTGTGTGTGTGTGTGTGTGTGTACGTGCGCGGGCCTGCCTGCCTGCCTGCCTGCCTGTGTGTGTGTATCTACAAGTAAACTGAGGGAGGAGCAAATAGGAAGAAAGCATATCAGTGAGTTTGCCGTCCTCATGAACTGAGATGGAGTCTAGGAGAAACTTAACAAAGAAAGAAAGGGCCACAACATAAGAAAAATTCACTGAAGATCAACACACACCCTCTTCCAGAAGAAAAGCTAAAAACTGAAGTGGAGATGGAAGCAGGGAGAAATCTAAGAATGCTGAAAGTCAGGCAGGGAAGTGGTGATGGGAAATGGACCCTGGACCATATTGGCTGTCAGGAAAGGAGAGATTGTAAACACTACAATCATTTCAGAATCCCAGACTTTCACCCAATCCAACAATGAAGAAGTAAAAGCTGCTTGCATGATAATATTCTCCCAAGACCAGTGCAAGATTTTACTTTACACTTACCCTGCAGTCATCTGTTTTGTAGCATTCATTCACTATACATAGAAATTTAGCTTATTCTTTTCCATCCAGGAGGCTGTTCAGAAGACTGGCTCTGCAGCCGTTGCCCACCCCCCATTTCCGTTTAACCAAGGAACTCTTAAGAGGGTAGCTGCTGTCATGCACAGGCATCTGCTTGTCAGACAGAACCACTATTAACTATTTCTAAAGTCTAACCTGAAACATGCTGGGTAAGAAACAGTAACACAAGTGGCTTATAAGACTGGTGCCTCTGATGGGGACAGACTAGACGGATGTGTGAATGCTGTGAAAATGATAGCCACCCTTGCCTTAAAGATAGGCTTCAAAGCCTTGCTTTTGCCTTTTCTTAGCTAACTTTTTGGCTCCTCGACTTTATAAAAGTTGCAGGTGGCATTTGGCACAGCTAGTGTTGTGTCTCTCTCAGTCTCTCTGGTCTTTTGGGGATCCCATCCCTTCCAGGGCTGAGGAACAAACTTCAGGTCTTGGGCTCTAACACTGATCTAAGTCCCTGGGCTCCTAACTTGCAATATCTGAAACATTCTGAGGGGATGATGGTCCCTTTTAGGAATGAAATGTAACTTCCCAAGTAGCCAAGCTATAAACATATGGAAGGCAGGCAACCTTCTCCCTCCCTCATTCTCAAGTTTAAATACAGGGACTCAATACCTTGGGAGTCCTAACATTTAACAAAAAAAAAAAAAAAAAATTGGAGAAAGGGCCATCAGAGACACATGTTACAGAATGAGAAAGCTAAACTGGGGACATCCTCTGATGCAAGGAACTGGACAAAGGTCCCTCTCCATTTTTCTGTTCAGCACACTAATGAAAAGTACATCAGGAGGGGAGCCCACCAGGTCTTCCCACAGAGATGAATGTCAAAAGACCAGCTCCCAATCTCAGTACTCACTCTACTTAGTCCAAGCAAGAGACTTAGAGCTGCTGAGAAGAAAGTAAAAGAAAGAAAAGGTGGTTGTTGCTCTCAAATAAGTCCTTTTAGAGTTTAAAGCCATGTCATTCCTTTGAGGCTGTATATTCTCCAAGGACATACAAGATCTTACTTGGTGCTGTCTACTGACAGTATGGTATGTTGTTGAGAGAGGGCAACACACTGCAGTCTGACTGCTCAGCGATATGGTTCCATCAACCCTGGGGAAGGACACTGTACCACAAGTGCAGATGGTAGCTAGCACCACCATTGCCTCAGGCAATCTGCACTGAGCTTGGGGTACATCCTGTAGTCTAGTCAGTGACAGGCAAAGGGTAGTTATGGCTAGTTGACCAATCAATTTCTATTTGCTGATTCGATGTTATAGCCTATAGGGATGAGCATAAGGGGCTTCTTAGGAATCTGAAATACTAGTGATACAAGCTTTGATAAGTTTTCTGTTCTAATCAGTTAGAAATGAAAACTCTATAACCAATATACAAGACTTTTCTCAAAGCTTTCCTGATTTTAAAGCATATCCCACAATGTAAGACTTCAAGTCTTATGCTTTCTAATAATGGTTTGAGGTGGTTCTACTCCCATTGTATCTTCTGTAACTCTGGGCCAGCTGGGGAACATGCCCTGGAGTGTGAGCTGAGGAGTTAGCACTTAGCTCTCTTAAATCTAGGGAGTAAGTTACAGCGTTCCTACCATTCTCATCTGTGGGACACAAACAGAAATGCCAGAAGAGAGCCTTGAAGACCTATCAAAGAGACCAAGGAAAGGAACCAAAGTCTGGCTTCTTCAAATGGGTTTCTGAACACAGTCCAGACTGGGCTGGGACAGTTACCTACAGGGACTATGCCAGGCAATCATGTGACAACCAATTATATACCTTAAATCTGCCTGAAAGGACAGGTGGCCTGTGATCTTGGGGTGGCTTCTAGGCTTGACTTGGATTCTCCTCAAGCTCAATCTGCCTGATGATCTGTATTGAAGGAGGACACAGCTGAACAAAGAGTTTGACAGCTGCCCATTCACCACATGGCCTGAAGGACAAGGCCTAGGGTTTGGAGAACACCTAAACAGGGAGAGAGCTAATTATACTCTAGGTGGCTAATACAAAAATTCGTGGGGAGTGGGGAGCACAGATTAGTAACCAGTATAAAAGTTTTCTTTCTTTCCTTTTGGTACTCAATCCAACTCCTTATAATTCCTCTTTCAGTACTTGGAAACTACCCAAGGAACCAACCCCAACTTTACTGTTTTGCTGGGATGTTCTTACCATCAGGAACCTCATCTGGCCTCTTCCTCTTCTCATACACAACAATGATCACCACAAGGATGATGATTTCAGCCAGAATTCCCAAGAAAGGCCAAAGTGGGGCAAGGTGGCTCCGTACCCTGAGGACGGTGAAAACGGAGGCAGAGCCAATGGAGTTGGTGGCATTACATTCATACTCGCCAGGATCTTCTGTGATCTGGAGATTCATAATATTCAATTCAGTGTAATTCTCCTTGTTGATGATGAAGAATCGACCAGAGTTATTGGAAATGTCCTGGGGGGGGGGGGGAGAGACAGGTCAGAATAGATGAGCTACCCAAGGGAAAGTGACAACGTCTTTATTCTTATCAGGATAATGACTAGAATGAGACACCATCTTTGTTCAAAGGCTTCTGAGCACTTAACTGATGACTTCCTTCAGGGTTCAATACATTTCTGATAGAAACAGGGTATAAATTTCCGTTATTATTGATCCTTTGAACTTTTCCAACTTTCAGACTGAATGGAGAGACCTGTTGCTTGCAGACCCCCACAGATAGACAACAAATGCTGCTTCAAACAGCAGAGGGAAAACCTGCAGCAGTAAAAAGCTGGGAAGCAAGATACCCATTGTCGGGCATATTTGGTAACTTATACTTCTCTAAGAAGTAATACTAAAAACTTGCTGTTAGGAGGGAACTGGGAGAAAATCCTAACTTCCCTTCCAGGATTCTGGGATTAAAGGAATGACAACTCAACCAATCACCAAGTAGCTACTAATTAATATATACCTATACATCCCATATCCTACTAAAGTGAAGATACACATAGAAAATCATGAAACAAAAATACCCAAGAAATTTGGCTTCAAGAAGGAGAGAGTGCTATACGCAAATGCATTTGTTATGCAAGCCTGTCAATTTGAGTTCCATCCCTGGAACATAGGATGGCAAGAGAGAGCCAACTCCCAAAAGCTGTCCTCTGACCTCAGTATGTGTGAAATGGTATGAGAAGGTAGGGCAGACATTCAAAGGGATATGGTTTTAAAACAAAAATCATGGGGGGGGAGGGGCCAAAAACCAGTGCAAGATGGAGAACTGTGAGGTACTGTAGTGCTAATGCAAGAAAGCCAAGAAGAGCTTCAAAGAGCTAGCCTTAGTTACAGGGTCATGGAGGAGAGAATAGCTGACAGGTATGGAACACTCTAGGCATCTTTACCTTGCACTAACAACAACTAACAGTATACAAAAATAGCACAGAGAAAGATCATCTTTCATATTATCCCAGTTACAGCATACTTGCTTGTGAGTGTGGAGACACATCTGAAATGGGGAACTCAGCCTTCACGGTGAAACTCCAACTTTCATCTTTCAAAAGATGAAAATAGTAATTTCAATCAATTTTGGCAAAAGAGAAGAGAAATAGATATTCCTAGCACCTTGAAAACAATAGTTTTCCCTAAAAATACTCAGCATCTTCACCTCTCAGCTAAATCACTGCCGACAACAGACTCATCAATACTTGACATTTTGCTATCAAGAAGTCTTAAGGTGGAAGATACACAGGACTTGAAATAAATCTACATATTATACTTGATTTGCCAATAATTTATGGCCAGAAATCACTGAATCAGATAATAAAAGACTCCAAGGCACTATTTAAACACTGTCAAGAACTGCTCCACAGGAGCCAGATGATGTCCTCAGCAATTATGAGCACTTGCTGTACAATCATGAGAACCAGAATTTTGATGTCAGTGTACATACCTGTAACCCCAGCTGAGATGAGGTAGAGACAGGAGGATTGTAGGGCTTGCTGGCTTCCTGACTAGCCAAGAAAACATGAGCCCAAAAGGGAGGCGCTGCCTCAACACATGGAAACTGATAGAGGAAGATACCTATACTTAACACCCTCTTTGACCTTCACAAATATTCACAGGTGGGTGAACCCCACCCTAAACAAATAAAGCAGAGATGGCTCAGCAGTTATGAATGCTTGTTGCTCTTGCAGAGGACCGTAATTCAGTTCCCAGCACCCACAACAGGCAGCTCACAGCTACCTGTACTCCTGCTCTGAGAGATCTGACACCCTCTTTTAGCCTCTAAGGGTACCCAGACAAATGTGTAAACACACACACACACTGAAAAAAAAAATGTTCTTTGACTTTTTTTTCTTGCATCTTTTGGTCCCTTTTCTTCTGAAGAACAAACAAAAACCCACTTGAGAATCATAGCAAAACAGATAGATTGGCTTTGTTGACTTTGGATCTGCATTCCACTGTATTAAAAAAAAAAAAAAAAAAAAAAAGCAATCTAATCTCTTACCAGACAGACAGCTTTAGCAAATTATGTACACAGTCAATGCTAGATACAGACTAACCTTCATGTTCATAGTGTAAACTGTAATTCACTCCACAAGGACCCAAGCCATCCTACATTCAAAGAAATTTTTGTTGCAGTAACTGGTCCAGATGGCTGGACCTCCTCAGGAGAAACTCCAATAAGCACAAAAATTTAGGTATAGGTACAGGGCTACTACCTCCTACTCACCTGAAACACACCATTTTCCTTCTTGCGCCATATCCATTCTGGGTGGGGGTAACCAACTGATTTGCAGTACATCATAGCATCTTGCCCTTCATTTTTGTTTTCACTCCGTTTATGGCCAGTGATATCAGGAGCCGCTGTAAAAAGGTGTTAAACTGTTACCACCTAAGTGAAATACCAAAGGTCTTATCTACTGGCTCACTAATGCTATCATCTGAAGCATTTATTTAATTATTCTTTATCAATAAAATCTCATGAGTCCAATACTGAGATAAGACCCTGACTGATCAAAGAGGTGGAGAAGCCTCCTCTCTTTCCTTCCTTGATCCAAAAGGCCAAGAATTTTTCTAAGCCATTATCTACTTGTGGCGGATGACCTTCTGTATGCTGTGAATATGTTTCTCTTATTGGTTGATGAATAAAGCTGTGTCAGCCAATAGACAGATAGGATTTAGCCAGGCAGGAAATCCGAACAGGAATAGAGAAAGGTAATAGGCGGAGTCAGACAGATTCTATGTAGCTACCAGGAAGGTAGGATGCCCAGGCATTTTCCAGTAAGGTAAGGCCATGTGATGATACACAGAGTAATAGTTATGGGTTAGGGGGCTGGAGAGATGGTTCAAAGGTTAAGAGCACTGGCTGCTGTCCCAGAGGTCCTGAGTTCAATTCCAAGCATCAACATAGTGACTCACAACCATCTATAGTGAGATCTGGTGCCCTATTCTGACCCACAAGCATACATGCAGGCAGAACACTGTATATGAAATAAATCAATAAATCTTTAAAAACAAGTTATGAGTTAAGAGAACTGGCCGATAAGCCCAGGCCAAACAATTATAGATAAATATTAAGTCTCAGAGTGGTTATTTCATATTGGCTGCAGGGACACAATTGGGTGGAGAGAAACCATCCAGTGGGACTGAGACTAGACAGAGAAAATCTCAACACCCTAATACTTCACATGTGTCTCTATGTCCTCAGGCCCCTAAAACCTCTATGGCTCCACCCTCTGATTCAAATTAACTTTATTGGCAGTCTCAGGAGTGCAATCAAAATATCCAACAACAATCATCAGTCTTTATCAAAGCTGAATATGAAGATGTCTCTAAAGAGCCTTTCAAGGTCAGAATGGGGTAAGAGGACCAATTCCATTCCCTACCGTTTCTTACCAAAGCAGCAAGAAATTATCAGGGTTATTGATGTAAGAATTTCTACCACTGTAAAACCTACTGGAAAAATACACAAGCTCAATTGTCCTAACTGCCCAAATACCTTACTCAGAAAACATGCAAACGGAAGTCATAGTTACATATATTAGTCCAAGATTCGATAGTAAGGCTTAAGAACCACTCAAAAAGAGACACTGAGCTTGGTACTGGAAACCTAGCAAACTATCCACAGCGCTAATGAAGTCATAGATCTTGGAGGAGAACCTACAACCACCACTTTAATAAACCATCATAAGCTCTTACTACACTGTAAATACTTGTCCTTATACCTACACATAAGTGTAGTCCTTATTCCTCATCAAAGAAACTTCTCTTTACTAACAGATAAAGACCATTACCAGAAAATCACAACTGATGAAAATGCAGAGCTGTGAGCCCAGTCCCAATGGTACATCTACAAAACACTCATGCACTTAAGACTCAGGGATCATTGCAGAAAAGGAAGCAGAAAGGTTGTAAGAGCCAAACAAGGAATTTGCTGAGACTGTGTAACACAGTTATACCAGAAGCTATGCCCATAGTTTGGCCAACATGACTACCTAAACACGAGCTGAACAAGGACAACAGATATGCCAAAGTAGATGGAGAAATACCACAAGTCTTCAACACTACACAAAGAACTAAAGACAACTAAGGAATGTTAACAATGGGAGAAATAACATTTCCCAGGAAAGAGCTTCATTTGGTTATACCAAATGATGGTCAGGCTTGAAAACATACATACAAGTAACATTATAAAGACTGAACAGGTTGTATTTATGTATGCGTGTGTGTGTGTGAGAGAGAGAGAAAACATACATACACATCTATCAATACTTTTATATAACAACAATTAATAAAAAAAACAGGTCATGAGTTTGAAAGAAAGCAAGGAGAAAGGAAGGGAGAAATGACATAAGTATATTATAATCTCAAAAGAAACTAACAAAAAATAATAAAACTTCTTATGGAGGTTCATGTTTGCAGTATTAGGAGGTAGAGAAGGGAAAAAAGTAAGGGATTTGAGGCCAGCCTCAACTACATGAGAACATGTTGGGCAAGGAGAGCAAAAAACAAAGATGACTCTCCACATCTAACCAATGTATAACAACCTTAAGCCCAATATTTGGAGAATTTCAAGATCTAGATATGCTATTCTCCACTTTTAGGACTCACTTAAGAAATAAATAGCAAGCTTCAGAGCAGCTTTAAGGATCCAAGTAGCCTGAAGTACAGCTAATTCTTTGAATTTAAACTTTTTTTTATCCTAATTGTATTTCCCACTAGGGCATGACAACACATCTGAAAGCAATAAAACTCAAAGTAGGCCAGCTATCTCTTTGTTGGCCAGGTTAGGAAAAAGAATCAAAAGGCACTGATCCAAATTCCAGTTGAGTTGGAGCTTTCGTCTATGCTTTGATCTATACTTATCAAATGGAGATAATTCTTGCACCTGCCTAGTTACCAGTAGTCTTAAATAGGTAGGTAAGATGTCCAATATCCACTGAAACTGAAGAATCTTGGAGAACTGTATCACTTCATGGTCTGATACCACATATCACCTTTGAACTGCTTGGCATTTTTGGTTTAAAAACAATCCAGAGTCCCACAGTACACAGACTGCTTCCCAGACAGACTGGACTTGGTTGCAACTTCCAGAGGTACCTAGGATGGGAATGGAATAAGTAAGGCCCCAAACTGAGTTGGGTTCCTGCCAAACCCAAGTCTGCTTTGGTACCACTCTGTGAAATGCTTTCTAGGTTAGTTATTATAAAAGAAATGTCTGCTGCCCCCATCCCCCCATGAAAAATTCTTCACCACCCAAGAAGTAGCAGGCTCCCTCTACTGCTCCACTTTCCCACAGCTAAGTCTGCCATTTCTCTGGTCTACTGACCACTTTTTTCTCATAGATTCTTTTTCAGTCAGAAATATTAAGGACCTGCATCCACCCACAGGACCCACTGTACTACCTCCACCATCCAACTCCACACTCAGAATCCCCACATCCTCCTTCAGGGTCTAACCTGATAAGTGTAGTCTTTACCCCTCATCAAGGAAACCTCTCTTTGCAACAGAGACGATTACAGAAAACCACAACCAATCAAAATGCAGAGTTGTAGAGTCCAGTCCCAATAAATACATCTACAAAACATAGCAGGAGGTGTGGAAAGATTCTATAAGCCAGAGGATCAGGGAATTTTCTATGAGATTGTGTCTCCTAGGAACATCAGAAGATGTAAATGTAAAGTCTCACCAACATCACCACCCAAACCTAAGCTGAACAAGGACAATACCAATGAACATGCCAAACTGGATGGGGAAAAGCCCACAAGGCCTCAACCCTACACAAAGAACCACAGGCAACTGAGTAAAGCTGGGAGCTGGAAAGGTGGTCCTCAGTGCTAAATGAAAACATACATATAAGTAGCAACATATAAACTCAATTGGTTATATTTAGGAATACATACATATACAAATGCATATATGTATGCAATAGCAATTAATGAAAAATGAGACAAATCTGAAAGAGAGTGTTGAGGGTTATATGGAAGAGCTAGAAAGGAGCTAACAAATAAAAAAACATTCTAAGGCAAGGAAGGTTCGATAGATATGTCAACCAAGATACCCCAAGATACCATCAGAGAGACCAAGATATACAAGGAACAGAAGAGCCACCATCTTATCCAGCTGTGTTTTGCTAACTGGATACACTTATTTAGTACTTCCTACAAGTCTAAGTCTTACAGAAGTCAAATACGACCTTTCTGCTTAGGTATACTTTAGCATTGCTGTTAAAAAAAAAAAAATTAGGGAATAGGTCATTAGGTATCTTGAGGGAAAAAACACTACAGGAGAGGGAAACACAAAAGCCCTGAGGCAGGTATGTATTTATTTCATTAAGAGTTTACAATTTACATTAAACAAGAACATGTATGACCAATCAGAAGGGTACTCAGCATCCAGACAAGAAGAGTGAGATTCACAAGATGGTAGTACAGGAGAGGGAGGGGACTCTCTCTGGTATAGTTTATATGCTGAGTTTATGTATTTGTTAATAGCTGAAAGTGGGACATCAGAAAAAAGGCTTCAGGGATGACTCCAAGATCTCTGCCCTGAGTAACTCAAAAAAAAAACAGAGCTGCCAATTTACTCCAGTAAATAAGACCATAGCAGGAAACTTGTTTTATGTTTGCTGCTATGTTGAGGAAGAAGAGAGCAACAATGATGATGAAAACTGAGTTATCACAAAGGATCTTCGGGTGCTTATGGAAATGGTCTAAGACAGACAAATATCAGAAAACAGGACATACTTCATCATCTACATTCTTCTTTGACTTGGTTTCCACTCTGGACCATTATTGCCTAATACTCTTAGATGTGTGAATTCAATGATTTTGCTGTGGTTTGAATCTGAAATATTCCTCATATTTTAAATGCTCAGTATCCAGCTTGTGACACTATTTTGAAGGCTACACTTTAGGACACACTGTCGGAGGAAATAGGTCACTAGGGGTGGGGCTTACCCACCCATGGTTCTGACCTATGTACTCTGCTTTCTGTCTGCCACAATGTGAACAAGCCAATACCTCAAGCTTGCAAAACACAACTGGAACTATCCTACCCTGCCATGAAGCACTGAAATTCCTCTGAAAATATGAGCAAAATAAACCTTTCCTACCTTACATTGTTTCTGTGTGGTATTTTGGTTTTAGCCTCACAAAAGTAATAAATACAGTAACTCATTTCTAAAGAACATATCAAAACCACCTAGAACAGTGGTTCTCAACTTCCTATGCTGGCTGTGGCACTTTAATACAATTCCTCATGTTGTGATGACCCCAACCACAAAATTATTTTCATTACTACTTCATAACTGTAATTTTGCTATTAGTATGAATCATAATGTAAATAGCTGATATGTGATCCTT